CAATGGTGTGTGAAGTACGAAATGGGGTTGAGGGTTTGGGCATCATTATCCATGTTCTTACCAAAATGCTTATTGGGTTCTTTATTCTCATTTCATGATTATGAGCTCATTAAGTTTTGTTGGATATCTTATTTTTCTGCATAATATAGTAGTAAGTTGAATTTTTATTTGATAATTACAACTAGTGAGGTAATGCCAAACTTCTAAGATTAGTGTGATTGGAAAGTTACCTTGTTTACAACCTGTAGTTCATAAAGTGCAGTCAAACTGTAATGCTTTTATAATACATGGTAGATTTAACTAACTTTGTTGTGTTATTGTTAATCAATTTTACTAATTTAAAAAGTTAATGCTCTGTTCTGCTGGATTAGTAGTGTATAGCTTTATGGAGCAATATTATGGAAGACAAGAAGAGTAGTAAAGATTAAATATAGGTATAGAACTTAACAGTAGAGATACTTCATAAAAGAAGATCATAAGTAACACCATTGAACATACTCAATTCTGACTACACTAATCATCTCCTAATTCACCTCATTTGTCAGCAAATAACCTTGCACTGCACAAATTAAGAAAAGTAACTAAATGATTCATGTAGCAGTAATGGGGAAACAAGCTTTTATAAAATTATAAGTTATTCAACACCAACCCTATTCCCATTCATCTCCATCAGTACAACCAATGTTATTAAAACCGTACCGGTTATCAAACCAGTCAGGGTACTGATATAGTGGTATAGTGGTTCAATAATTAACCGCATGCCGGTTAAACTGTACATACTTGCTTATATATATATATATATAACCTATAACAAAAAATTTCAAATAAGTAGATATTCATATTTATAATTCATATTCATAATTTACTTCAAATTCACACAAACAACATTAAGTCTTTAATAAAATCAAAGTCTAAAGTGCAAAACATATATTAATCCAAAATTATCACTTAACAAACGCAAAATACAAATAAATGACCCAAGTATCAATCATTGAAGTTGAAGAATTGGTGAAGAATTGAAAATTTGAAATTAAAAAAAAAAAAAATTAATGTATAAACCGACCGGTTTTGACCGGTTCTATTGCATATGCGGTATAACATACGTACCGTACCGGTTAGGGGTCCGGTTCACCGGTTTTCCGGTTGAACCGGCCGGTACGGCACGGTTTTTTAAACACTGAGTACAACTACCAAAACCATACTATTAAGTGTGTAAAATCATAACGTGATATATTGCATTAGTACAACTACCAATATTATGATTGTTTCCACACTACTAACTAAGTTGTACTAGATGGTTAGATAGCATAGTAGATATAGATAATAAGTGATTGGGTGTGAGATTGATCCAAAGCCAAACAAGGACAAACAAGTTGAGGAGTTGAGTTAAGACATTGTACTTATTCACTTTTTGATGCATTTTATATTCACAAACCACAACTCACAATTCACCATTACGTGCCCATAATAATTTCTAAGGCTAAGGATAGTTTCCATAAAGACAAACCCAGCAGCCACATCCACACATGTTCTGAATTCTGATACCTCACCATTAACAGATTCAGTACAATTGTTACAAGCCATGTCCACCACCATGGCTTCTTTTTCTCCTCCAACTCATTTCTCATCTTCACACTCCAAACCCCATCATCTTATCCACAACTACAACTTCATCACTCTCAAACCCAACATCAAAAACCCTCATTTGTTTCTCTTCTCTCCCTTCAAAGCTTCTACTTCTGATGACAACAATGGCGTTGGAGCAACTGCAGTGGAACCACCATTGGAGCCTTCTCCACCAGTGGCAAATAATGGGTCTGTTGCTGCTGCTGCTAATCTCGAAGTGAAGGTGGTAAGTGGTTTTACTGACCCAAGATGGGTTGAAGGGACATGGGATTTGAAGCAGTTTAAGAAAGATGGAACCACTAATTGGGATGCTGTTATTGATGCTGGTAATTGTTAATCTCTTGAAGTTGTTACTTACACCTTGGTTTATGTGCTTTATACCTTGTTAAAATTTGTCTTCATTGAAATCGGATTTTGGTTTTGTTGTTTATGGTTGCTGACACCAATGGTTGAGAAATCAAAAAGGACAAAGTTTTAAGGAGAAGTGATGTTGAAGTAGTGTATTTGATAGATTAATTAAGGAGTGGTGCATTTAATTTTCCAATATTAATCACACCAATGGTTAAGAAATCAGATTTTGATGCTGTTGTGTTTTTGTTCTTGTTCAAATCACAAGTATTAATAGTTTACCCCCCAGCAATTTTGTCAGATGCCCAGTTTCTGTTTATATCCCATTTTGTTAATTTAGATCTAATTTTTGGAAATTTCAAGCTTAAGAGTAAGAGTGTAGGACGTGGCTGAAAAGTTTTCAGTTTGGAAAGGAATGAACAACTTGAAGGCTAATGAGTGGAAAAGGCCGTATAGATCTAGTGCCTTAGGTTATGTTTGCAAGTTCATTTTTGGAGAGTAATAAAAGGAATGAAAAAATGTTTGAGAACTATGAAATACACTTGTAAGAGAGTTTTGAAGTCTTCCGTTTCCGTTTCTTCCCCTCCAAAATCCAACTCACAAACAGATTTAACATTCATGTAATATGTAATATCAAACCAACTTCTTAGGTTATGTTCTCATAATCAAAGGGTGCTCAATGCTACAGCCCTATTGATATACATCTTTCTGGTTTGGATTATTTAGGTAATTTGAGCTAAGAATAGAGTTTTTCTTTGGTTTCATTTTCATTTCTTGATATAACTACTGTTCAGTATTAGCAGTGTCATTATCACATGTTTCACTTTTTCTTTATTTGTGAGAGGGGAAAACAGATTAATAGTTGGTGTAAGGATTATATATGATTATTATTAGTTTCTCTGTAAATACATTAACAATTATTTCATCTAAAGATGTACATTTTGTAATTATTTTCAGAGGCAAGGAGGAGAAAATGGCTAGAGGATAACCCAGAATCATCCAGCAATGACAACCTTGTAGTTTTTGACACATCAATTGTTCCTTGGTGGGCATGGGTAAAAAGGTTTCATCTCCCTGAGGCTGAACTACTTAATGGTTAGTTCTGCTATGTATTTTAGAATAAAGAGTTTTATGCATAATCACATTATTCGCGTTATCCGGTTCGTCACTTTTTACAATAATACTTCTTTTACGAGGAACTGGTACATGGTACCTGATACCCCGGACCCAGTATGCGGTACATAGGTTAAACGATGGAACCGTGCATATATCAATAAGAGGAAAGAAAAAACCTTCATTCTTGACATATTTTCTTCTTCTTTTGAGTATCATGCAGGTCGAGCTGCAATGGTAGGATTCTTTATGGCATACTTTGTTGATAGCTTGACAGGAGTGGGTCTAGTTGATCAAATGGGAAACTTGTTTTGCAAAACTCTTCTGTTCATAGCAGTGGTGGGAGTACTTCTGATCAGAAAAAATGAAGACATTGACAATCTTAAGAAGCTATTTGATGAGACTACATTCTATGACAAACAATGGCAAGCAACTTGGCAGGACAAGAACACAAGTACTTCCATAAAAGAGTAGTGGAATTTCATGTTTTCTAGTTCCATCTCTTAATATATAGTAGTGCTCTCTATTAATCTTGCTAGTGTTAAACAATGGACATGAAAATGAAGTAGATATTGTATTTCAATTCTGTGTCATCCTAGTGCTGAAGAATGGCTTAGATTGTCCTGTATGTTGCAATGTGGGAATTTTCTTGAGTCTTTCATACTGTGTTGTTAATTATTAGTTGGAGACTTTTCAGTAGTTTTTATTGGAGTTGTTATACTAATTATGTCTACAAAGGTTGTTATTAATGCTATGTATTTAAATGGAAAACTAGTTATTAATTGTTTATTGAACTTATAATTGACTAGTAAACAATTTTTTTCCTTCAAAGTTCAAACGGTTCAATCATAGGGAAGGGAAGGAGTAGGCTCCACCATGAGTTGTTAATTTTAAGGCTATCTCTATACTCTTCCCCCTACATCAAATTAAGAAGGTGAGTCATGTTATTTTTAAATATTAATATTAATTTTTTATTATCTTTTATTTTATTTTTTTAGCCTTTGTTATGAGGTAATAATAATTTAAAAAAGTTATAGTAAACTATATATTATCATAAATATTAAAAAATATTTTAAAATATATAGAAAACAACTAAAATAATCATAACATAAATAAATAATCTCATATTATTCTCTTTGTAATTCATTTTATAAAAATACAATCTTTTTAATATACTCAAATAAAAAATTAATTTATATTTAATTTTCAGTTGAGATATAAAATTATAAACAAATATAATTTCACGTTTTATACTGTAAAATTAAATATATTCAAATCAAATCAAATGTTGTAACATATATTCAATAAGTTGTAAAATCATTTTATTAGACCATACCTCAACGAATAAACCCTACCATATGTTACAATGTTGATGACAATGAATCATAGATATTTATTTTATGTTCTAATCATTTTTAGGGTCTAATTAGTCTCTACCAAGTGTTATAAAATATATTAAAAATAACTAATAGATACTCATTTGAAATTTTCGCAGACATTTTGAGTTTTTCAATTTTAAATAATCAAATTAGTAAGATCAAAAAACATGATAGACTGAAATGTATATTTACTCTAATATAAATTATAATGTTATTATAGAGGTGTTGCAAACGTTTTAAACTACTTTAAGAGTTTAATTAATGAGTATAAATTGATTATATAAAAAAATTAGACTATCAATACATATAACTTTTACTACATAAAAAAATCAAAATGATAAGATTGGATGATATAATGAAAATATTAAAACACTTAAACATAAGGTACAAATCTTTTACTCTTAAGTTAAAAATCACATAGTAAAACTCTACTCTTAAAATATGAAAGGTAAAGGAGGGTCATTAATATTTTCCAGATACCTAGTTTCATTAATTCAGGTTCCACAAAGCTAGATTAAATGTAGATAAAGAATGTATTACGAGTATCTAACATCATTGGATCTGTGGCGCAATGGTAGCGCGTCTGACTCCAGATCAGAAGGTTGCGTGTTCGATTCACGTCAGGTTCAAAATCATGCTTTTTTTCTTTCTACCATCTTTTTTTCTTTCTTCTTTCTACCATCTTTTTTTCTTTCTTCTTTCTACCATCTTTTTTTCTTTCTTCTTTCTACCATCTTTTTTTCTTTCTTCTTTCTACCATCTTTTTTTCTTTCTTCTTTCTACCATCTTTTTTTCTTTCTTCTTTCTACCATCTTTTTTTCTTTCTTCTTTCTACCATCTTTTTTTCTTTCTTCTTTCTACCATCTTTTTTTCTTTCTTCTTTCTACCATCTTTTTTTCTTTCTTCTTTCTACCATCTTTTTTTCTTTCTACCATCTTTTTTTCTTTCTACCATCTTTTTTTTCTTCCTAGAATCTTGTTTTTTCTTTCTATAATTTTTTTTTTCTTTCTATAATCTTTTTTTTTCTTTCTATTTCCATTTGTAAATATTTTCTAAGCAACCATTGATTGTATGATCAAAATGTGGCAAACAACTTATTTTCATCTAAGCTCACTCCACATACATATTTGTCTGAGGATGCAAAACTCTTCTCAGAACTGCCACTATAACCATTGATCAATAACTTATTTCACAAAAGTTATCAAATTCATGGAATAAGGTTGTGTTGAAAAAGTTTACTCATTTTATATGCTTGTCTAATACTTTGTGTTTTCTCTTTTCATACATAATTGTGATTCAAGTTTTATGGTAATGCCATTCTGATAGGAAACCATGTTTTACATTCTTTAGTACAACATAACACATGCACTACTTTGATTGCTTTGAGATTAGTACTGTTTCTATGATTCTGTACATGATGGATTCTAGCAGAGGATTATAGACCATTCCAGTTTCTATGCCATTACAAACTTATGTGGAAAAAAGGGAAACTTAGTTATATAAACATGTAAGAAATGAAAGACAGGCCTTGATTTTGGTGAGAAAAGATAAACAAAGTGAGAAAGACAATAACAGATACAGTTGAGGAATTGTGTGTGAAGTCTTTCATATGCAAAGTTTTGTGTCTATATCATTGCTGAATGACAAATACTCTTTTCATAAAACCAATGTTTACCAAACCCTTTTAGTTACCCTTGTGGTTTACTAAAATATAAACACCAATTCAAGCCTTTTTATCAATCAAAATAGAAAACTATTTCAAACCTAGGTATATAATATGAATTTCTACAACATGTTGATGGCTGCACACTGTGACCAATGTTGGTAAAGCAAACTGTGTCTTATAAACAATGTAACCATCGATAAATTAATAAAGGCCTTGATCACACATTTTCATAGTCACCACTAACATCGACTTCCTCATCATCATCGTCATCGTCCTCAACATCCATTGACCCGGTGAGAGCTTGACCACCCTCACCAGCTTTGGATCCTGACCCTGGTGTACTTCCCTCTTGTATGATCCTCATGATTTCTTCCACACTTTGGCTTGGTTGGTCTTTCTGTATTCCTTCATAACCTTCTTTTTCAGCTTCAATGATCTCTTTAGGCAAATTCTTCAAAAACCATGGGTTCTGCTTTATCTCTGGGATACTAACCCTCTTTAACAAGGATCAGAAATAGTTAGTTAACAAATATAAGGACATTCTTAGTATAAAAGCACTAAATCCACTTTAAATAGCTACAAAATAAACCTATATAATTCCCATTTTGACATTGTAAACGTGAAATATGTGTTTATCAAGGGCCTATGCCATGAACATGTGTATTTCTATAGGTTGTATAACTATAGTACTTGTATGAATTTAGGTAGTGTTTGGTATCAGACATGATTTTGATGCCTAAGAATGTGATGCTAGTAAATGCAACAATGTTACCGTTTAAAAAGGTGAAAATACAAACTCTCTACTTCCTCTCCTAGTTAGATGCCTATACATACCTTTGTAGGATCAGCAACAAAGATACGAGAGAGAAGATTCCTACACACTGCAGATACACGTACATAGTCTGGTATGGAATACTGAGCACCTATTATTTTCTATCAACCATTGCAATGAGAGCTTAATAATCCTACTATGACAAAAAATATTAACCATAATGGGACTTTGAAGTGAAATTAAGAACTCACTCCAATAGTCTTTCTGAAATTTCTAGGATCTTCAGGATCCTCAAAAGGGTATGCACCAACTAACATCACATATAGAGTCACACCACATGACCAAACATCTGCAATCTACAAAATAGCCATGTTGCTTAAGAAATTGAGCATTCTGGATTGTGTGAGGGTATATGGAAGAACTTAATGGGGCTTATCAGAACAACATATGAAAATAGCTTACAATCTTCCTATAAGCTCTTTTTAGCTCATTTCAGTAAGCTTATGAAAATAAGTTCTTTTTAGCTTATTTAAAAAGGTTCGATAAGCACTTCAATAAATTTTAGACAAACTCACATTATATATGATGAACTACTTAATGTATGTGAGATTATGAGAGCTGAATTGCTAATGAAATTGAGCACTTTGGACTTTAGGGGCGTACGGAATAGCTTATAAAGAGTTTACTTAAGCTTACTAGAACAACTTGTGAAACCCTGTAAAAACCATTTTTAACTTATTTCAAAAAAATCTTGTTGAAGAATAGTTTAACGAAGTTGTTTACCTAAACATGCCCTATGTGGTGAAATGTTTAATAGGTGTGAAATAATGAATGTCAAATGTAAAACCATGGTTGCTAATTGCCATAGAATGTGGCTAAAATTATTTTTAAGGCATTTGTGAAAATGAATGAAAATGGCACAAGTTATCTATACCTTTCCATCATACTCCTTTCGTGACAGAACTTCTGGAGCAATATATGCAGGAGTTCCAACTGTTGATTTCGGTTGAGAGTGCAGTATAGCAGACTGCAATTGAATAGTTAAGTTAAATAGGAAGAAATGCATCAACAATCAAACCTTAATCTTATTAGGTGGATTGGATTGACATCATAATGCTCTATCATAAATCAAACATGAAAGAAAGCAAAATTTTGAGCGGAGGATATAATATAAGTTATATAGATAGGTAGGCTCATTATGGTGAGTTTGTATTAACCTTGGAGTAACCGAAGTCACAAATTTTAAGCCGAGGAGATGGATTTCCGTCCAAGAGAGTGTTTTCTAATTTCAGATCTCTATGACAAATTTCCTGCACTAGGAAGCAAGCATAGCATGATATTTGTTGGAAAACATGGCTATAGAGCAAAGTAGACAAAAAAATAACAGAGAGAAAACAGAAATTGCATGAGTGTAAAGTAGAACTTATATACTAGAGCAATCTAACTAATCTCTAAGTAATTGTAACTAACTGTAACAACAATATTTATGGCACAAAAGAATTTGTAATGAAAAACATAACTGAAGTATGAGTGCACACCATTGTATGACAGTAGCTAACCCCAGATATTAGCTGCTGGAAGAAATATCTTGCCTGTAATATAGGCAAACAATCACTAAGTAAGTTTCACTAAGTAGGAGTCTCGTGTAAAGTAAGTTTCGAATATCTATTATTTAGAAGAAAAAAAGAACAGCTTAATTAACGAGAAAAGTTCTACAACCTCTTCTTCACTAAATCGACCCGCGGTGCAAATCCTCTCAAAGAGTTCACCACCTGAAGCATACTCCAAGACAATAGCTAAATGAGAAGGGGTCAGGAACACCTGCAGAAAAAGATATCTCATTCATTATTTTGTTGTACATAGCTTCTGAAAGCTCTCTCTATGGAACAAATCACAATCATGTGTGAGTAATTAATTGGATGAAGTTTGATCTTAGCACATGACAAACTAATCACAACAATAAATGCAAGTAACTACTCTAACATTTGGTAGAAAAACAAAGTATTACCTCTTTGAACCTGATAATATTTGGATGCCTTAAAGATCGGTGGTTAATTATCTCCCTCTGAACATTCTCATCAATCTGATACCATAAACATAACTTACTCAGAAAAAACACAGATCAGAAAGAACTTGTACAAACTATTTGAGAAAAAGTGTGATTGTCCTGATATACATAACTTGAAAATATAAGGATGGAAGTCATTTTCAGAACAAAGAAATATAAGGATGAAAAAAATATATCATGGCCAATAAAGAACTCCTTTACCACATTGAATTCACTATTGGCTTTGTAAAAAGTTGAATCTAAGATTAAGATTTTAGCAGAGATAAACATGCAGATATCTGATATGATAGAGTGCAAATATCAATCTACCAATAAAACTATAGAATTAATTTACTCCTAAGAAAGATAAAATAAACACTAAATTCTTCATTTTTCATTGATTTCTTACGGATCATCAATAACATATTTAAAGAGAATGAAAGCAACATAATATGATAATTACCCTACAAGTATCATCATCTTAAAACGCTAGAACATTCTTAAAATATTAATGGAATATCAACTATTTAATTAAATCTAAATAATCAACTATAATATTCTATCATATCCCCTTTCTAATAAACATTTGAACAAACCATAGTATTAGAGTCATTAGTTAGCTTAGTCTAGTGGTGTAAGACATCACTGAATCTCCATTCATCTAGACCAAAAGTCAATTATCTAATGTATGAGAGAGTCACTCGTTAAAAATGACAGTCATACACCCAAAATGAGTTAATTTCTTGCAGGTGAGGATTACCCTTACTTATACAGAAAAAGATGTAACTAGTTAACTTAGTAATAGTAGTTAGTAGTTATAGTTGGTGGTGCATAATTTTGATGGTGAGTGAATCATTGTAGCAAAATGTTTGTTTTGATTTACCTTTTTGCCTCTTTCTATGTATTTGATTGCAACATGGTCTCCAGTTTTCTTATCTTTGGCCAACTTTGCAACTCCAAAATTGCCAAAACCAAGGTCCTTCAATGGCTCATACCTCTCATCCATGTTATCAAAGAACTTAGCAAAAGAGCACCCAGATAAGTAAACAAAGAACTTAGTACTTGTTATATATAAACAAAATGAAATGATGCCAAATTAATTAATTAGAGACATATACATACGCATGCCAAGGAAAAGTTCAAAG